TTCTGAGGAACATGATGAAGCTGTCATGCTTGAGGCTGCACTCTTTGGCGGAATCCCTGAAGGGAGTGGATATCCTTTTCCCTATGCACCGCATCAGGTCATGCAGAATGGCTTCGATAGAACTGTGGGTCCTAATTCTTGGTGGACACCGCGTCCTCCATCACCTTCTCTTGCTGCCCAGCGCTTGATACGGGAACAACAGGTTAACTTTCTGAGGCCATCTGTTCCGTGCCCTATAATTTCTATGTACTGGATTTTGCTACTTTTACTTGCTTTATCTCATCGACACAAAAATATAGATGGATATATCTATAAAATTATTGTCTTGATGTCATTGCTATCAAATGCGTGCAGGATGATGAATATCTTGCTTCACTGCAAGCTGATAGGGAAAAAGAATTGAAGGCCAGGGAGGAAGCCGAAGCTCGTCGTTTAGACGAACAAGCAGCTAGAGAAGCTGCTCTTCAAGAAGACATGAGAAAGGAGGATGAATCACGTAGAAGATTGGAGGAGGAACAGGTAATATTATCTTATTTTACAGCTAATATTGTCAACCAAATGCAGTTACTAGCAGGCCAACTCTCAACTTGCCAAAAATGGTGACCACCAATCATATATAGGCTGTAAATCAAGGCCTGTAATGGTCAGGCTCATTCAGAAACAGAAAAGTCGAGAGTGTGGTGAACAACCATTTGTTATGTTATGTCTCAACCTTCATAACTATCAGATGAAGCTGAGGCTTCCATCTTATTGTATATTCACTGCAACATCTACGTAGTGCTCAGCTTAGAAATTAAACTGACCTACCCAGAAAAAGAAAAAGGAAAAAATGAAGGAAGAGTAGGAAAATGGTGCTAAATAGCTTGATCTTCATTTAACATGCAATATCATCTCCAGCTGGACAGTTGGCAGGCTGATAGTTTTCAGGTGAATATAACTTCTTACTAAATAAGATGTAAAGATGTTGCTTATTTCTTTCCTCTTGCAGCCGAAAGTGGAATGTTCTGTTGCATCAATAAAACCATCTAATCGGGACCCCGTATACCTCTTGTTCTTGATTTGTTACTTTATGGAGATTTGGTAAAGGAAATGTGTTCTCTAATACTCGTGTTGTGCGAATGATGCAAGGATGAAAAAGAATGGCATATAAGATTTTTTGTTTATTAGCCATTTGTGTGCTGGATCTTAAAATTTCTACAAATTCATGCTTTATGACACATTTACTTATCATTACTAAACTCATGGAAACAGAATCAGAAAGGGACATCTGGGAGCAGAACTTGTGGTTAAGGCTTCCATTTTTCAATCATGCTTCAGCTTTTCTCGTTTTAGTTGTTGGAAATTAGTTTGGTTAATGGGTTGCAAGGTTCTACGGTCCTAATTTTCCTTCTGAGATGGTTTGGGGTTTCTGCTTAATATATACGCGTGAAATGGCATTGATTCCCTGCTAATTTATGCATCGAGATACTCTGGTTCCACTTCTCTGCAGCTGTAGATTAATGCTTGTTGATGCAGGAGGTTGAGAGACTGCTAGCTGCCAAAGAAGCATCTCTTCCTCATGAACCAACATCAGCTGATGAAAATGCTATTACCCTTCTTGTGCGGATGCCTGATGGCAGCCGCCGAGGTCGCCGATTTATCAAATCTGACAAGCTACAGGTATAGGTTGTGGTGAAGATCTGATCTGCATGAATTCAATCATTCTTGTGACTTATTTTAATGTGGTTCTGTGCAGTATCTTTTTGATTTTATTGATATTGGTAGAGGGGTCAAGCCTGGAACTTACAGATTGGTAAGCCCGACTCTGTGCTTGGTAGATTTCATTTATATGCTGGCTGTACTCTTTTCAATATCCCTTTATCCAGTCAAGTTAAATTAGGAGGATTTCATGTGTAATTTAATTTGGTCTTCATTTCTTGTGCCAAATATTATCTATCAATAAAAAAAGAAGAAAAAATGTTGGGTGAAAATGATTTTTGGGTTGTCTCTCTTTTTCTCGGCTATCTTTCAGATGTATCTTCAGGCTTCAGTGCCTTTTGGTTGAAACAGTTGAAAGATGACAAAAGATGTTGCTTATTATGTTTAATCCAAAGTTATTTCTTGTACAGGTGAGGCCATATCCTCGACGTTCTTTTAGTGGGGGGGAGAGTGCCTTAACATTGAACGAACTAGGCCTAACAAGCAAACAAGAAGCCCTGTTTCTGGAGTTGATTTAACAAGTTCAGCTTGTAAAGTTGTAAAAAAAAATTTTACTTACAAAAATTGTAGGTCAATTATATATTTATACGTGAAAATGTTGGTGTTTTACCATAAATAAACTCAACCTAATGTCCAAATGTAAAATCAACTAGTCGGAGGAGAACATGAACATCCATTCTATCGTACCCAAATGTACATGGTGTAAGAGTGATTGTGCACGTGTCAAGCTTGCAACCGTGAGACCAAAGGAAACATGGAACAATTGTTGATTTGTCATTTTGATATAAATAGATCAAGGGGGCCTACATCATGCTGTTGTCGATGTGGAAAAGTAGCCTTTGACAAAAAATATTTCTAGATAAGTGTTAAACATTATCATAAGAAAGTAAACAATTGCTTAATAATAAAAATTAAATGAAAAATAAAGCGAGTCTTAGTCCAAGATTAAGTTCGACACATCATGTAGTTTTCTTGCATTTAGAAGTATTTACACGAAGTTAATAAAAAATAGGAATTATATTTAAGAATATATAAAAAATTTGACCAAATCTTAATCAACCACCACTATATATACATTGACTATATGTATTAAATCATGAATTCACACCAAAATTTTGAAAAACAGAAGTCAAATACAACAATATAATAAGATTAATGCGTATGCTTTTGTGCGAACTATTATGATTTTCCAACATTTGGCCACCCCTAATCTTTTTGTCCTTTAATATCACACGGATAATTATAAAAAATTTTACTACCCTTATGTTGGGTCGAAACTAATATTTCATTAAGCCTGCAACTTGGATTGGACAACCCGATTTCAACCCCAACTCAACCCGAAAAAATTAGGACTTAGACAAGAGTTTTTAATATTTGGATTGGGCTTGAGTTAAAAAACTTCAACTCGAATTTAATTTGGGTGGGTCTCGGGTTGACCTCTTGGGTTTATGATTTTGAACCCGAATATTAAAATGGGGCTCAACCAGAATTACTATTATATAAATACAATTTTTGAATGTTTTGTAATATATTTGAATGTTATGTTTGTGTTATGTTAAATTAGTTGTTGATCGTTAAATTATGTAATATATTTGTGTTATATTTGAAGTTGTTGATTGTTAAATTATTTGAATATTATGTAATAATATGTTTCAGATTTAGAACATTAACCCAAAATCAGCCTATAAAATAATTTGAAGTCAGTTTGAAATTATTATTTTGAATTCAACTCGAGTCCGCTCGAATTAAATTCGGGAAGTGCTTGAGTTGAGTTTATCAACCCGTTGTAGGGATAGAGTTAGAATTAAAATTGAAAATTATATACCTAAAATTGAAG